TAAAAAACGTTCATATAATCAAAATACACTCAGATAATAAGAAGAGAATAGTATTTAAACTATATTTAACCTAAATGATGTAAAATTATTGAATTTAATAAAAATAAATTTTATATATATATATATGTAAAGGAATTTTTGTTATCAATTACAAATCAACAAAAAAAATTAAATATATAAGATCAATTCTAAAATATAACCTTGTTGTAAGAACTTGAAAGACTATAAAATATAAAATATCTTACTATACGTGAATTTTTATATCAATTATTTGTAACTACACCACCATCAAACGTAAAAATAAAAGTAACTAATCATTGGATTACTTCCTGAAGTAATATTGCCTTAAAATATAATAATCCACATTGCTATACAATTAGAATGTTTACCTTCATTATTTTTTCTATCAATAATATTTGAAATAAGTTATGTACTAACTTATTATTGTATTAAATTAATATTGAGTTAAATATATTTTTATTCTTTGAATTTTAACGTGAAATTGAATTTTGTTTATGTCTAAAATTTTGACATATTTGATCTTCAAACTCTAAAAATGAATAAATATATCATTTTAATCATAAACTTTTTGTTAACGTATTAAATACGTTTTTTAATTGACATTGAAGTAATGTGTCAAACAATATAAACAACTCAAATGTTAGTATAAAACACGTTTGATACATAAAAAAATTTAACTGTAATTAGGTTAAAATGACTATTTTTATTCATTTTTAAAGTTTTGAGACTAAAATGTATCAAAATTTCGGTTTCATGTCTAAGTTTAGAAACTAAAAACATATTTAACCCATTAATATTTTATAAAGAATAAAACTTAAAACTAATTATATATAACTTTTTTATTCATTTTTATTAAGATCCTACAAACCAGGTGACAATATTTTAAAAATGTTTATATTAAAGTACATTACAATTGTAGTGGATAATATAGCACATTATTTACAACATTATGGATGTGATGGTATTAACAAATGTCCAATATTTTGTACAAAATGTTATGCCAAATAGAGTTGCTATTAAGTAATGCTGTTAAAATAGATTGAAACTCGTAAACCAACTCGGCCCACCAAGAGTTCAGGTGTAGGTCAAGTTGGATTGAAAAAAAAATTGAAATATTGATACAGGTCAATTTTGAACTTGATCCACTAAGAATCTGACTTACCCAAGTTGAACCCGTGGTGAGCCGAGTTGGCTCACCAATCCACCTAATTATTGCTTTGTGTTTCAATATTATTAGTTAACACTATTTTATTATTGTATTGTAGATGGAGATAAAGAAGAAAATGCTTCAAAAGAGAAAAATATTGTGGATTTATCAATTTAAAACTCTAATCTTATATATGGATAAGTGACAAAAAAATCATCAATGTTAAATACTTGTTTTTTTTATGCTTGATTTTGGATTGTATTGTATTTTTTTATATTTGTAATGGTCTGTAGACTTTAAAAACCTGTTTAATTTATGGTGTACATGGATCGAATTTTTTTGACTCACTAATAAGTGAATCAGATTAGATTGACTCATCAAGTGACAAACTCGTAATACATTTTGATAAATTTTGAATTGAGATGTACATGCACCTTGTTGTACTATTAAGATTTAATAGAAAAGAATATGTACATAATTTTTTTATTTGAATTTGAATACCAAAAATATTTTATTGAATTATATAATATATATATATATATATATATATATATATATATATATATATATATATATATATATATATATATATATACTTTGCTGATAAAAAATAAAAAATGATAATATTATGTTAAAAAATTTAGTTTATTATAAATTAAAGATTATTAATTACTACATATTCAAATTTTCATAAAGATATTAACATTTCAAACAATAACATTAAAAAACATACATAATTTTTTAACTCATATAAATTAGAAAAATATAATTTATTTTTAACATAATAAGATAAAACAATGAAACTTAGCCAAACTACTAAAAAAAATAGGTTTAAATATGTTTTTAGTCCCTAAACTACTGGCCGTTTCTGGTTTTCGTCCCTCTTTCAAAGTAAGGTACAATTTGGTCCTCATTCTTTTCGAAAACGTTCGTTTTAGTCCTTGAAAACTAACACCGTTTAAAAAGTTGGTCCTCATTTAGCAACAAAATGAGGACTAAAACCAAAGTTCCGAGGACTAAAACGAATGTTTCGAAAAGAATGAAGACCAAATTGTACCTTACTTTGAAAGAGGGACGAAAACCAGAAACGACCAATAGTTTAGGGACTAAAAACATATTTAACCCAAAAAATTATTATCCACAAATACAATTAGTTAATAATAGTAAAAGATTGTCATACATTTGATTTTACCAATATATTATTGATAGTCAAAAATCCGTCAATAAAGTGTATAAATAAATTCATTAGTAAATATCTATTGATAAATATTTATCAATAATTACAATAAAGTGCTAATTATCGATAAAATTGTAAAATTGCGAGTGTGTTTGTTTTCCTCCTCCTTATTTTTCTCATTGTTTTCATTCTCCCCCTCTCATCCTCATCGCTCCTCCACCGTTGTGACCATCACCGCCATGCCAATCACCGTTATTTATGGCTTATTCACCCCGCTTTTCTCCTTTTCTTTTCTCTCATTCACCTCCTTTTACTCCAACAACAACAATTACTGTGTCACCATTCTCGTGGTCCTTCCTCTATTGCCACCACCAGCTCCAACCTCCTCCTCTTGCTCCACCTCTTTTCATCCTCTTTTTCTTCTCACCATGTCTCCTTAATATATAAAAAATCTCATCAGATTGAACAATGCAATTTGTCGCTCAATTTATTAACATATATACTCACAAAAAAACCCGTTAAAAGTTCACTAACAAAATTACCAATGGAATAAACTATCGCATACATTATCGACGAAACAAACCATCAGATACAATATTAATGGATACATACAAATATTCTTCGATTATAGAAATTTTAATTTATCAATAGATCTAACTGATAAATTTTACTAACAAATTTATTATTCTCGATAATTTAAATTATAAAATTATTCAATAAAATTTGTTGATAAATTTAAGTTTATTAATAAATTTATTTTTATCAGTATAAATTCATCGATAATTATGAAATTTCTTTTCGTAAATATTGATGGTAATATAATTTTCCAATCTTCTATGATAACATGTAGAATTGAAATTTTGTTAAATCTATTTAGCTAAAATATAATTAATACTTTATAGTATACATTTAATTAAAGTTTTGAATTTTGAGCATATTTTACCTTCTCTCCAAATTTTGTAATATCAATTGTAATGTTGACTTTATTTAACTAAAACTATTTAAGTGAAATTCTAACCTTAATTCTAATCTTAATTCAACTAAAATTTGTAACCTTATTTGCAGTATTAATTATAGTTTAACTAAATACAATTTGCAATCTTAATTTATCTTAAATGAGTCTTAATTTGTATTTTACTCAAATTCTAATCACATTTCTAATATTAATTGTATCTTAATTAAACTAAGACAAATTTTAAAATGTTGTCCTTCAAATTGTAATCTTAATAAATTTTTCCAAAAGTAATTTAAATTAAGATTAACTTAATTATGCAACATATATCTTGAATCTAATTGAAACTAAAACAAATATAGAATTCAAATAATTAAGACTAACATAAATACACGATTAATTGATATGAAATACTTTTTTTATCACAAAATTGTCAATACATCTCATTTTATCATCATTCTTTTCTATAATTGATCTAGTAAATGTTCTAGAAAGCATTTTAACAGTAGTGATATAATCATAACGTTTTAAAGATGTTATTCTAACCTCTCTGTTTTTTTTTCTTTTAAAAGAGAACTTTATTTTAAATAACACTACTTATTACTTTTAACTTTATCTTTTAAAAATTTAGTAATTAAACGATATATAGCAGCAAATTAAAATAGTTTTACTGTCCATTCATTCATTCACTACAATACCATAAAGTGTCTAAATAGTAACTAAATTTAGAAATAAAAAAATAATTAATTACTATAATAAATAATTTAAATAGTAATTCATAAACTTTTTTTTAATTAATAGTTTCTATTATGAATAAAAATATATAATTAGTAAGTGAATTTATCACTAATTGGTTGCTGAATATTAGACATCAATTTTAGTGATTAATTCACATATTAATTATAATTTTTTTTATTCTAGAAACTATTTTAGATATTAATAATTTTTTGTTTATAAATTAGTACACTACAAAAATATGCAATTTTAGAAGGGGTTTTTTTTAACATTACCGGGGGTTTTAACCCCTGGTAAATATGTTTCCAGGGGTTACAGGAACCATTGGGAAAACCAGCGTCACAAAGGTAACGGAGGTTTTTTTCCAATTTCCAGGGGTTTTGGGAGCCGCCGGAACTAACCGGGGTTCGACAAAACCGCCCCTACTAACATCGGTTTATTAGAAACCGCCAACACTCACTAGATTCTACAAACTGTACCTTTTCCAGGGGTTTTTTGAGAACCGCCGGAACTAACCGGGGTTATAGAACCGCCGGAAGTAGCTGAGTTCGAAACTTTCCAGAGGTTTATTAAAAACCGCCGGAAATGCATGCAGATTTTTTTTTTTTGGAATTGGAGAATTTCGTAATTCTGATGCAGCAAAGACCTATCTAACAGTGTCAATAAAATGATATTAGAAATCTACAATAAAATCAAGTACCTCTCAATAATACTAATGATATTAGAACATTATCTGTTTCCTTATATTTACCTAAATAAAATCCATTTATTTACTTCTATATTGCAGCTGTGTAAATGACACTTACTAGGAAAGAATTTTCATGCTGTAATTACAATATTTAATCCCTATAAATAAAGGGATTTGACTATGCATTGATCATTACAACTTAACATTGAGAGTCAACATCTCAAGAATTTCAGAATCAATTACATTAAAATAAACTATTATTATGGAGCCAACTAACAAGGCTAATGTCACCTCCTCCCAAAGCAAAATGCAAAGAAAGATAATGCATTTTCAGAAAACCATACAAAACATGAACGAGAAGTTCAAAAAAAATATCCAGGGCAAGTAAAAAGTAATATTTACAAGAATTTTAATAACAAGTAGCAAATACTGATGAAAAGAAAACTTGGTAACATAGCAGACATCAGAGCAACCATGAAGACAATTATTTTCAAGGCACTGGGAGCAGAGAAATGTCTGTCCTAATTCTGGAATAAGGACCAAAATTCAACACTGAACAGACACATAATATGTAATATGGTCGAGGGTGGACAAAGATGTTCAATACTAAAAATTAAATACGCAGAGTTCTAAGGTTCTCCTTTTTCATTACATCCATCATTTGACACACTTCCTTGATCAGATACCTACAATATAACATAATAGTTAGTCGATTATATATTTAAAAAAAAGATCATACAAATAAATTTAGCAATTATTACCGATGATGGTTGAAATGTAGCAAGCTGTGAAGGCAATTGACCCGGATAATTTTGCAACAATAATGATATCACTGCCTTCATTTCATTGACTTGTGTTGTCAATGAAGATACCTTTAAAAGATGAAATTATTTAAAAATTAAGAAAAATGATATCTAAGAAGTTGATCATAAAAAGAACAAACCAAGTAATTGATAAAATATTCATTAACCTGAGTTTGTAATTCAACATTAGAAACAGAAGTTGAAGATGATCCACCATGAGAACGAGCATGGACTCAAAAGACTTTAGATGGGCAAGGACCCAAACCTAAACCGCGAACGCGTCCACAATGCTCTTTGATTCCTAAAGCACGAGCCAATGAATCTGAACTAGATATTTCTTTTGATTGAGTCGATGATATTGTAGATTCATATGCTTCAATTTTTTCCTACATACAACATTTAATAAAATAGTGAAATCATCTAAATCGGATAAAACAATTCACCCAATTTCATTATCAGTAGATATACAATTATCAATGCACAAACAATTTGATTCTAGTCCAAACAGAAACAACACCAGATTAAAGAGTTGCGATTCTAATTTCTAGAACCAGATTTCAAAGGGCTATTTTTACTACACTATCAGAAGACTTTTACTTCAGTTTTATTTGGTTCAAGTATATATTTTTACTCCAAACAGCAACATATGCAGCAGCCCTTTGAAGTTTGACTATCATGGTCATGAAACTTATGTACGATGCTAATCCTTGAAAGTTATCTACAATAGGGAAAAATATATAGTCTAACATGGTACCGTTATAGCTGCTAACACCAGCTCATGAGCCTAATGCAGGTTTCACAATATTCTTGGAATCAACATATTAAGTAGCAGGTTGTTAAGTAAGCAGTAGCACTTTTGGCTCTTTTATCTTGAAGACTCACCATCATTGATTGACAGACATGTGCAAGACAGAGCCAAAATCAAACAACAAACATTACAATATGAAAAAACAATCACAATTTAATCAGAACAATATAACTTTAATCATGTTATATTTCATATACAACTTTACAAACTCACACACTCCTTTTACAAGTAAATCCATTAGAATATAATATATTCTCAAATCAAATTATCTGCAGAAAATAAACATACATACATATTTGCTGCACTAAATTGTTATACATTTGTAACAAGAATAAAACTTACTCCAATTTCTCTTGCCTCATCACTAACAAAAGCTCCATTGGTCTTCTTATGGGTAGCTATCCAGACTTGTCCTCTGCTAACTTTGTGCCCACACTCTCTTTCCTATGAAAATGGACGAATGCAGAGTAAGTATGTCATAAATATAATGAGAAATAGAAAGCTGAAGAACAATAACACTTCACCATTTCTTCCCTCTTTCTTGCAATGCTTTTCGACCCCCCTGTGTGAGCAAGAGTTTGCTTTGTCCTATTATGCTTATTTTTTTGGGCAATCTCCTACCATTGTCATATAAAAAGTTATTAAATTTTAACAGAAATTTAAGAAAAAGAAATTTAGGTTTTACCTTTGTTCTGTCCTCAAGACGGTAGTCAACAAAAGAAGCCCAATGATCTTTATCTATTCCTTCTGGAGCCATGGCAATCAATTCATCTCTAGTACGTGTGCCATCATCTCTTTGTTTCAATAAATACCATTATTAGAGATATAATCCAAAATTGGGCGTCAATCCAACAGGTTAAGCACTTGGTTGAATTGGACAGTTGATTCTTACATGATATCAAAGAATCTGGCTAGGATGAAGTGACCAATATATCCTTGCAAATCTCAGTATGTATAATTAAACTAATTTTCAGAACTAAGTGGAATTTACATTGACCACACAATTCAGGCCAAGAGGCAATATATGAAGATTAATAATTTAATGTGAACAATGCATGACTCACCTTATCAAAGTTACAGATTCTCTAATTTACAAGACCAATTCACTAGAACGAGGTACAGGAAAACAACAAACGGGAAGAACTTGCTTCATTATAGAAGAAAAAGAAATATATTTCTTTTCATACTGTTCCTTAGAGAAAATCAATTAGGAAACCAACTCGCACATCAGGACAGAGCATCATGTTAAAAATTGCAATAAGAAACAAAAAAATCATTTTTCCTGCAAAACATTTATGCAAATATGAGTTTGATAATCAGTACTGCAATAAATATAAATAATAATGCTACCAAGAAAATCTATGACTAAAATTTGGAAATGATGACTTCCAAATCATGGTTGTGCAGATCCTAGCCACACAAAGCATAGTTAGTATGTGCACTAAGTGAAGCAAGATACATGTTTAAAGGAGCATACAATTCAAGCAAATTAGCCAGTATTCTTCTAGCTAAATACAAGATTAAAGCCAAATTCACAATCATTCAGAATTAAAACATGAATCTGATCTCAAACAGATACCAACAACAATGATACAACTCCAGTACACATAAAAAAAGATAGAAATTAAAATACACACAATTTTGAACCATACAGTATAACCTTAACATTGTCACACGAAAGCAGATCAAGTTATGAGAGCATTAAGTTAACAAGGAATACATTTCATAGTCAATTGCATACTATCCTAACAATGTCTTAGATTTAAGCCTAACTAACTAAGCTCGGTTTGTCGATAATATATTTTATCATCCCATATTAACACTAGCTTGGAATCAATCAAAACCAGCAGCTCCTTACTAGATAAAACAGAGATAGTGCTTGAATAAGTGGGTTTTTAGCTCCTCGTTTTCAAGTAGGCAATCATATCACCTCACTTCCTCAAACTACAGTAAATTTTGTGGTGGTATAAAGAAAAACAAAAAACAAAAAACAAAACTAAGCAAAATGAGAAAGTCCCTCAGAACCAAAACAAATTAATTGGGTTTTCCTAAAATTTTTGAAGTGTAACAAGATCTGTGAGGAAAATCTTCCTCTGCTTCCAACACTGCAAACATGGTTCCAAAAGGCTTCCTCGTTGTCTGTGTTGGAACAGAGCTCAAGAGATTCATCATTCTCACCCCTTGCCTTGCCTCGCCTCTCACCTCCTCATACTTCACACCCTTCTCATACATTAATATTCTTAGAAAACACAAGACTAATCAGAAACCTAAAACGTGCTTTTCTACCGTTTCAATTCCGAGAGTAATCATAAGTTCAAACGCATAGAGTGAAAATGAACGGAAAGAAAAATGAATCAACGAATGGAATGAAAATGAAGTGACCTACGCAGATGCGAGGAATTCCGAGAGCGAACACGACCTACGCAGCCAGAGCACCTCGACCTCGCTCAACCCACAAATGCTTCGACGTCTCGACCCCTCCACCTCGACGCTCAACCAGATGAACACGAAGCCAAGGAGAAGATTGTAGTGCGGGAAAGGGTTTGAGAGAAAATTTGATGAGAACGGGAGGAAGGTTAGGGTTTAGATTTCAGAGAATTAGAGATGAGATGAATAAACGACTGAAGGCCCGGGGAGGGAATAATATGGATTGGGTAAGTATTCTAAAAATAAAAAAGTTTAAAAAAATAATAAAAAATAGTAACCTGCGGTTTTTAGAGATAAACCCCCAAAAATTTTTGGGGTTTTCAAAACCGTCTCCAAAAAGCCCTCCTAAAATTAATCATTTTTGTAGTGGTATTACATTGACTAATTAATTTTTTTTTCTAAACTTTCTTATGATATAGACTTTTTTTGTGTGATTGAGGATCACGTATAAAATACTTTCTCAGTTTCGAAGTTATTATTACAATTTTGTTATTAATGTTTTAAAAAATTAATTTACATTATTATTTTCAAGGAAATATTAATGTGTTTTTAATTTATTCTAAGTAAGTCACATCAATATTTATATTTATAACGTATAAAAATAATATATTTAATGTGAAAGTAATTTTATTTTGATAGTATTATTTTAATTGAAATGTCTATTGTTATTATTATTATTCTTATTTTGTACAAAAAATATTTTTGAAGTGTAGTTACTTTGGGATGTACGGAGAATGGGTTGCACTGCATTCAATCTATATTGCATACGATTAGAAGATGATCTTAATATGCAGTCTCTCTTAATTGGATTTGATATGTCTTTTCTGGTTAACTATTAAGTAAATTTACCAAGTATTTAATTGTGTAGTTGATGATTAGATTTTATATGAGAAATTGATTAATTAATTGTTAATAATTAAGATTCCTTTATTTCATTTAATTTTCTCTTATTTACAGAATTCAAACACTGGCGTATAATGGCAAGTGACAACATAAAAAAAAATTATAGATAAAACTTTAGATTTATAAAAATACGTATGTGTCTTCACTGTGAGAGAGCTACTTTATTAAATAAATAAATTAGGTAATGTAATGGTTGTATATTTGCAAACGCTTATAAAGCATAAGTGGAACACTTTTTGTGTGCAAGGATTATTACGACATTAAAATTTCTAAACCAACTCATTTTGTATTTGTGAATGTCTAAATCAGCTTATTTGGTGTTGGAGATCGTAGTTATCATTTCGAGTATATGTTGGCCACGTATACGATAAGTACAATTCATATTCATTTCATAGCAACAAAAGTTGACGGAGCATTTGCAACTTCGCCATAAAACATCTGCCTTTCACTATCCGCATGCGCATGCAATGCAATCTTTCTGATCGGACTTTGTCCTAAAAAATTCATAATTATAGAAAATGGAATGATCCTATTTCCTTTTTCAATAATAAAGTCATACAATTCCATCCATCCCTTAACCTTCGAAGGTGGTGGTGTCTATTCTTTAACTCATCATCGACAAAATCTACAACTCTGTGCACTTCACACTGCTGGATCTTTTCCATTCCACCAATCTCCGCAAGAATTGCTCAACCTGTGTATGTGCCCATAAAGATAATGTTATATATTTTTCAGATTCACCATTCGCAATAAAGATATATATAAGATTGATGCTTGAATTATATTATAATATATTGTGGTAGATGGAATATATTTATAGGACTTGCCTCTGATGGATCTTGCAAGGTGTAGGAAGCATCTGTTTCTTTTGCAACACTAGAAACAAGTATCCCAATTCCTTGACCCCTACTGCGTAAAACCTGGTAAGAATATTATATCCATAACGTTAACAAGTTGATCACTTAATAAACATATGGAAGCCAAACAAAATGAAATATATAATAGCAATATGCTTTCGACTATAACTAACAAACAAACCAACTAGGTGACAGCATTTATTACCTTAAAAGCATCCTCATCTGTTCGATCATCACCAATATAGATTGGAAATACATCACTCGAATTCTCGTATCCTAGAAATACGCAAACAATATTATATTGAATCAGAACAACCATGTGTCTTGTACAGGCTAATTATTTTGCATGAACTTATATAAACTGACCTAATGATTCTAACAAATATTCAAGAGCCTTTCCCTTGTCCCATTTGATGGTTGGACGAATCTCTAGCACTTTTCTGCCTTGGGTTAGCTTAAGTTGTGGGTACTCAGTGAGCACCAATCTAACTTTCTCCGCCAGGGGTGCCCAGCTCTGAAGAAAAAGAAAAAGAAGGGGTAAAAATGGTTAGATAAAATGAGGTTACCCAAACGTGTTTTGGCGTGTGCGTGTGGGTTTGGTGATTCTACTGGTTCAACAATTGTATAGTAAATTGACCCGTACCTTTTCGTCAACACAACGAAAGTGAACGGACAAGCAAAACTTGTTGTTCTCGACCTTAGCCCCTGGGACAGACTTTGTTTTCTCTAACAACACCTTGTACACCTGAAATTATTTTTTATAACGTACCACGCAGTGACCATCTTATGCGCTGTTACGCGTTAATCAGGGGCAAATAGAGCCTTGCATTTCAAAGTAAAAACAAACCTCATCGATCATGGGTAAGAATTGACTCGCGGGTTGGAACAATACTGCTTTGTTATTACCCTGAAACAAAGCAACAAATTTCAACGTTAAGCGGATAAGCAAAAGATAGAATCTTCAGCACGCTTATGAGGTTCAAAAACTCTCTCTCACTTGCTTTGGACTTCGGCTTTTTGTTGGCCCCTTGATGTCCATGCCATGGCTCCCGGCATAGTAAAGTTCTGCCAGTTTCACAAAGTTATAGACCTGAAAAAGAAAATCAGAAAGAAAAAACAACCTTATTAAACATCAAAAGGGAAACATATATATGATAATGATTAATAAATAATCATTCAATTATATAACTCATAAGTCATTCTAGTATTTATTTTGCTTTGAAGAAAATGTACCTTGTCCCTGCACCTCCCGGTCACGATTGCTGTGGGAAAATGTCTTGCGATTCCCTTCAGCGTCGCTCTCATCTAATATGAAAAAACAAAGACGAAAATCAGTCACCCACACAAGGTTGTGTACCAGAATGAATGAGACAAGAAGGAACAAAAGAAAAACCTTTCGACTCATGAAGGCTTTGTCCGGATCCGTAACGATAGGGGAGAGTGTTCCATCGTAGTCAAGAAAAACTACAACCTGCTTCCCTTTGGAATTATATGTTATTTGCTCGAAGGTATTCAGAGCTGAAGGGTGATAAAGCTGCAAAGAGTTGGGAAATAGAAGCAGAGTCAGGTGAGCAGCACAACGACTCATAAACTTCATGTTCATATCATCATATGTTGTGCTTACAATCCAATATCTTTTTTCTTGGCTTTCTGATTTGGCACGAGTTGGGGAAGAGGCTCTCATTGAATCAATCCAAGCACCAACTTTAGCTCCTTCCAACCTTTTCACAAGATTCTTATGGGGCAGGCTCCAAAACCCGCTAAGCACAGCCATGGATTGTGGCACTGTTGCACTTGCTTAGTACGGTTGATTTTGAAATGGACGCTGTCACGGCAATCAACGTGTTAATAACCTCGTGAATCACCACATTTTAGTTGGTCATCATGTTCTCTAAAGTTCAAACACTTTGGATTGAGGATAGAGAAGTTTGAAAAAAGGAAAATAGGAAGCAGAATAAGGGAAATAGAGGGAGGGTGTGGAGGAGTGCAAAAAAAAGCAGAGAAGAGAAGAGAAGAGAAGGAGATTGTGGTACTTGGCTTGTTATTGTGCTGAATAAGGGGCTTTTATAGAATGAAAAAGTCGAGGGGGGAAAAAATCAGAAGGGATTTCACTAGTTGGGTTTGCCTAGCCTAGTCACGAACCAGCCAGGTGTGTCCGGTCAATTTATAAACTTAGGCTTCACGGCACAAACTGACGAAACAACCACTTCTCTCTCCCCCTGCTTCTTGTACTTTTCAGCAACTATTACTAAATATGAAAAATATGGGGGCCACCATGATCCCACAGCTACCTTCCTTTTTATTTTCCTTTTCTGCCATAAAAAAAGTGCTCATAATAATTTGGAACCTTCACTGAAACTATAGTGTAGTTTCGTTCCATTTACCACCTATCTGCATTGTATTATTCTATCCATCTCTTTATGGTTTTGTCAGAAAAGATTCTTGGGTGAATATGAGGTTTGCATTGATAGTTTTACTTACTCTGGCCAATAATCAATAATCCAAACAGGTCGCTTGCGTCTCCAATCATCTAACAAAATAATGGAATAGTGGCACAAGAAATTTTAAATCACTTGACCAAATGAAAATCAAGGTCAATTGAATGTGGAGAGTATATAAAGGGGATTTGCTGTTTCTGAACAGTGCAAAGCAAAGACCTTGCAAAGTTGAATTCTCAGCTTCACTAGCTTAGGAAGTGGGGAAGGACCACATAATTTACCGTACCTTAGATTTTTAAGTGTCTTCTGCTTCATGAGCTAAAATGTATTAAATCTTTCTAACCATAACGTGCATATTGAAAAGATCACATGCAGGTGGTTCAGGAAACAAAAACTCTTAAATGATGGTCTAAGTTGCGTTCATAATTGTATTTTACACTGTGCAAGAGTGTTAATTATGATTGAAAGTATATCTTCAGCTAGATAAACATAATCATGTAATCTTAAGAAGATTTATCTTCTGGTATCAAGTTGATTCCCTAAGTTTTGCTAACTTATATTATGATGAACCTCATCTCTTATGTTACCATAATTTAAGATAGATCTTATTATATCTTNCCCTTGCCTTGCCTCGCCTCTCACCTCCTCATACTTCACACCCTTCTCATACATTAATATTCTTAGAAAACACAAGACTAATCAGAAACCTAAAACGTGCTTTTCTACCGTTTCAATTCCGAGAGTAATCATAAGTTCAAACGCATAGAGTGAAAATGAACGGAAAGAAAAATGAATCAACGAATGGAATGAAAATGAAGTGACCTACGCAGATGCGAGGAATTCCGAGAGCGAACACGACCTACGCAGCCAGAGCACCTCGACCTCGCTCAACCCACAAATGCTTCGACGTCTCGACCCCTCCACCTCGACGCTCAACCAGATGAACACGA